TAGTACCTACCTAGTATGGTCTATGGCTTAAAAAAGCAAATGTTTCTGCTTTTGTCTATCACTTATGAAGAATAATAATAATCTTGACTCGAAGCGCGATGCTCTTAAAGCCAGACCAGCAGCGGCTATCACCTACAACTACATCAGCGGTGTCCTAACGTGTCGACATTGTTCGCGCACGTTTACTAACAAGATTGGCTACTGTAGCCATGTGAGGGCACATGATAGGGCAGCCCAGCGTAGCCCTCTTATTGTGGACTAAAGGAATTTTGTCGCAGTTACCGTAGCCGAAAGCGGCTTGGGAGTATATATATATATATATATATGAAGAATAAACTGACAATGTATTTGTCTTTTTATTAGTAATCCTTCATCAATTGATTGAGTTCAAATTTCGGATAAACATGTAATTCGGGTGACAATGCAATATTGTGATGACATGGAGCTGGAAACTGCAGGGTCTGATGATGGAGCTGGAATGTGGCCATAGGAATAGGCTAGTTTCTTTAAAAAAGACTTTTGGTCCGTCAATTTTACATTATCAAAAATTATTGGACACGGGATATTTTTATTTTTCAATTAAACAAGTAATTACGAAGATAATGATGCGATGAAATTCCGCGTGACGACACAAATCGCCACATTTTTAAGCATGCCTTGACGTCATGTGCCTCATCTTCTGAACTTTGGTGCGCTTCATCTCTTTAAATTTTCATAAGTTTAAAAAAGTGAAAAATACATTTAGAGTTTTTTTTTGGTAAGTTCACCGACGGTCTTATTCAAACTCTTGCTACTTTCTTGCTTTATCCACGAAACATCCCTATTCTTCGAAATTATTACGATCTACAAACGGAAAATCTCTGCTACTACGCCGCAGTAAATTCCCCATCATAAATAAAAAGATTTTTTTTAAAACAAGCTCTTGTATGCTAATAATTTTGGTTTCATGACATGCTCCTAAAATTCATCACCTTATAAGAGGATTTCAGTTTTTATCTGCGAAACTTTTTAATAATATAGGTACGTTTCATGGTTTGGTAATTTAGGGAAGTTTATTTGCACTTAACATGAAAAATATGGTATCAATGTACTGAGTACCTATGCACCTTCAGTGGCAACAACAAGGTCTACTGGGTACCTATAGTCTACTAAAGGCATGAAATAGATTAATTTCACTAAAAATTAAAACCAACTCCAAAACGAATCACCAAAAGGTAGGACACCGACACCGACTCCGAAAATGGCTAATTTTGTAATCAGTATCCAAATTTTTAATAAGCTCTATAGAACAATTCAATACCACTTTATCTTAATTTTTTTTAATGTGACAGGAGGCAAACGAGCAAACGGATCACCTGTTGGTAAATGATTACCGTCACCCATAGACACCCGCAGACCCAGGGGCGTTACAGGTGTTATTTTTAATTGTGGTATTTTCGCGAAGAAACATATTTAAAATCTAATTCTAATAAGTATGAAAAATATAAATTGTTTTCTTCACGTAAATCGATTAAGTTACAGATTCTGACTAGCTCCTAATTTGGATACTGATTGCAAAGGCCTAGTAAATAAATAACGTAATAATTTTTCTACTTGTATTTATCTAGTGCAGTTGTTTTGGAGTCAATTATAGTTTTTTTACACTAATAGATTCTATTCAGGTAGAAAATAGCGTCTGAGCGCGTCATAATTCAATTGTATCGTCTGACTGCACGTACTCTATGAACAATTCTGACATAAAATCTATTGTCGAACAAAAGCTGGGTTGCACCATCTTACTTCAACTTTGACAAGCGTCAAAAGTCTGTCTAACTCCATACAAAAAACACCGGTTATCGCCAAAGCTACGGTCAAAGTTAGGTCACGTCAGGTGGTGCAACTTAGCCAAAGAAAAAATTCATTTTGATCGCTAATGTCAGTTTGTAGCGAGTGACACAACCTCCCCGTCTGAAGGCCAGCGGCCGACTGCCGCCCGCACCCCGCGAAGGCCCCCTCAACAGCAAAACGTTCGGAATTTATCAAAAGTAAAATTTATGAATGAAAGTAATGTTCGATTGAAAAACGCAACGTGTCATTTAAAGATTAAAGAATTCCCAATCTATTCGTGCAAAAATCTTTTAAATTAACATAGCCGTTTTGGAGGAGTAGGGAATTTAAGTAAAAAATCGATGTCCCGTATTTATTTTTTTAATCCAAAACAAAGAGACGTAGCGAAAATTCAAACGTCACAAATGTAGTCCTTGAACTGTTGTATAACATATATTTTTTTCAACTATTTCTGTCCAGCAGTAAAAGAGGAGTAGGCTTTACAAAATGCCCATTTAGCGCGGATTGAGGACACTAATCGCCTTAAGAAATTAAATGTGTTTTTCTTTAAGGATATTTATTGGGCTTTCAAATAATACCAATATTGTTGGGGCACCATGATTGTGTCAGTAGAAACGAGTTTTCCTGTAAAACGTAGGTGGGCCGATTTTTGTGATGACCAGTATATTTATCTATACTATCTATACTAATGTTATAAATGCGAAAGTAACTCTGTCTGTCTGTCTCTCTTTCACGTCTAAACCACTGAACCGATTTTGATGAAATTTGGCAGGGATATAGTTTGAGTCCCGGGAAAGGACATAGGATAGTTTTTATCCCGGTTTTTGAAACAGGGACACGCTCGCCAAAGTTTTTCTGTGACAGACAAAATTCCACGCGGGCGAAGCCGCGGGCGGAATGCTAGTTATTAATATTTATGTAGCTTTCTAAACCTGTGCAATTGAGTGACAACTTTAGAAATGAAGGGATATCAATAGCTTTGAAAAATCTTAGATATACGGGACTAACCTCACCTCCTTCTCACCACTAAAACCCCTAGCCAGATTTTGGCCTCCAATGAAGTTAATATCATCCCATACTATTAATCCCAGGCTATCTTTACTATGTTTGAACTCCTATTAATTTAATCAGATAATAAAGTATGTGTTCCAAATAAAATAGCATCGATTTCCGTCCGTCAGACGTGTGGTTAAGCAATCTTTTTTTGGATCACAATAATAATATTATGTTAGACACATTTTACATAATTAATCAATGCATTCTTCTCTTTTTTTACTTTTATTTGAGTATTCTTAAGCTTATTTTTTATATTATTTGCAGGTTTATAATGATCTGATACTCGGCATAAGGCACACTGAAAACCAGTGGCCTTCTCCACCGTGGGCCACGGCATTTGCTGAGTGGAGTCTCATTGCGATGGGCATCGCTGTTGCAACAGAGTGGCACTGCTCAGTTCACTTTTTATTTTTGCTGCGGCTGGCTCGTGAATATAATGCGCGTTTTGAAGGTGTCGATATCTTTGCGAACACTAAGCGCAAGTTTAAAAGAGATGTAGGTGCGTTGTTGGATTCAGGTGCAGGGGCTTGTGGCTGAGTCTGGAATCATGGAACTATTATTTACCTACGGCTTCGCCCGCGTGTGGTTTAGCCTGTTACGGATCCTTCTGGATCGTAGATTATAAGTAATGATGCTTTAAGTTTCGCTAAAATCCGTTCAGTGGTTTTTGCATGAATGAATATGTACTCAAATAGATGTTTGTGTAAACATAATAAACTTTCGTATTTATAATAATAGTAGGATGTAAACTACATAATATCTTTTCTGTATCTCAACTGACATTGAGTTGGCTATCGGGATGATCTTTGTTTTGTAGTGTATTGTTTAGGTAGTGTTGTGTGAACTTGTGTGGATAGGTATTGGTAGCATTCCAACCTTTACTAGTACTATTGGTAATAATTTAAGGGAAACCTGTTATTGGCCATATTGTATGTTAAATTTATGTATGGTAAAATTGTATAAATACGCTGTTGGTTTTCTCAATAAAATAAAATAAAATAAAAATTATTACCTTGTAATATTTACCACCAAAAACATAAATGTAAAAAAGGACAGCCAAGTTCAATCCAAAAATTATGCTTGGCTGTGGGCTTCTCCGCAAAAAGAATGGAGATCTAAATGAGTGCCACGTTCTATGCAAAATCTAAATAAGTATGTATTTATAAGAAAAAAAAACCATTATGAACAGTATTAAACCTTACTATTTCTTTGCTTTATTGGATACCTATATAATAACAATTGCTGTTATTTAAAAATGTGAGATCTTAAAGTAGCTTAGATTTGACTTGGCCAGTGGGCTGAGTGTGAGTATAGATCAAACGCACTCACTAGTGAGCGCGTTTATTAAAAAATGTATGAAAATTTTCGTTTTTGAACGTTTCCCTCTAGGGGCGCTGTACAATTTGTCATACATTTAATGCCATTTTTTGATGCGCTCACCAGTGAGCGCGTTTGATGTAAACTCACACTAGGCCCTCAGTTTTCATTACATCAGTCATTTTATAAAGTTATTCAACATAATCATTCGTTCGTTCGTTCGTTCGTTTCAGCCAAATGACGTCCACTGCTGGACAAAGGCCTCCTCCAAGGTTTTCCACAATGCACGGTCCTGCGCTGCCCGCATCCATGCTCTTCCCGCGACCTTCACCAGATCGTCGGTCCACCTAGTAGGGGGCCTGCCCATGCTAAGTCTTCCAGCCCGTGGTTGCCACTCAAGAATTTTTCTGCCCCAACGGCCATCGTCTCTACGAGCTATGTGCCCCGCCCACTGCCACTTGATTTTAGCAATTCTGCGAGCTATGTCGGTCACATTCAACATAATACATTTTTGTTTTAATTCTGATAAAAACTTAACTAATTTATTTTCTCTGATGGCTCATGGACCCAAAATGTGACAATCGATAGGAGTTATCGCCATTTACTGCATCTTGTCAGTCACTTGCTATAAGCTTGCGAGGGTCATTTTAGGCTTCGATCCCATTCTCGTGGTTAAGTATTGATTTTATTTAATTTTAAGAATTTATTGATGCCAAATTCTTACGCAACATGTCGTTTGATCTGTCCACCTAGAGCTTGACAAGGGAAATAATACAAACCATACAAATAAAACACTTATAACGGTTATCATTTTTTATTAGACTTCTTTAAGTTCATTTTATTAATACTCTCCGAGATTTAATTTTCATGGCTTCTTGTCTCCATTCAATTGTTCGTTAATCCATTTTCTAAGGGCAGAGACTTTCGCATAGACAGCGGGGTAGTCTGGTCTAGCGCATCCTCTGCTAAACGAAACCACGCCAGCCAATTTACCATTGTGGATGAGAGGGCCACCACTGTCCTGTAATAATAAATTTAATATTAAATAAGTATTTTATGCAGTATTATAAACAATAAAATATACCTAGAGATTTAACTGGACATGGATATCAAAGATGATGTTTACTACGAGTCCATCTCCTTTATCATCATTATAATCAGGTCAATTGGTTTCCATTGCAGGAGCATGATTTGGTTTATTAGATTAGCTTAGGGAAGGCCCGATATTTCCATGTTTCTCCCTTAATCGTCCTATTAAAACTTATCGATGTTCTGGCATCAGATTAGGAAACAAGTTATTTAAATTTTATTTTATAATTATTTTAAAAGAACGCATAAGTATACTAACAAAACAAGCATTTTTCCCGCCCTCGGGTAGTCCAGCACACAGCATATTCTCTGTGAATAAGTGGTCATAAGCATCACGGCACTTCGAATCAGCAATCTTCGGGATCAGAACTCTTTGAAGCATCAGATCATTGTGAGCCTGCAACCAATTAAAAATAGCTCTATAGTAAACGTTAGAGTTAAAAAAAATGCAATCCCAACTAATATTATAAATGCGAAAGTAACTCTGTCTGTCTGTCTGTCTGTCTGTCTGTCTGTTACGCTTTCCCGCTTAAACCTCGCAACCGATTTTGATGAAATTTGGCATAGAGATAGTTTGAGTCCCGGGAAAGAACATAGGATAGTTTTTATCCCGGTTTTTGAAACAGGGACGCGCGCGATAAAGTTTTTCTGTGACAGACAAAATTCCACGCGGGCGAAGCCGCGGGCGGAAAGCTAGTGAATAATATAAATATCCAACACAGGATATAAAATAATTTATTTCAAAAAGACTGGTGTTATATTATTTCGATCGAACTCTTTTTTAAGATGATTAGTAATTTGTTATTGCACAAATCACTAATTACTCCCGTTAGCCCCTCGTAGTAAGCTAAATAATAATATGCTTGTGTCACGAGTGGGCTCACCACAATAGTCAAGCGGCGGCTGGGACCGAACTCGCGTTCCCCGGATCACGAGTCGGCCAGGCCCCTTCAACCCACACCCCTTCCACAAGGTGGACCAATGACATCATAAAGGTAGCAGGAAGGCGCTGGATGCAGGCCGCTCGACATGGAAATCATTGGGGGAGGCATAGGCCTGAACATAGGTTCAGCAGTGGGCGTCCTATGGTTGACATGATGATGATGATGATGAGAACTTACCAACGATCTTATAGGCTCAGTCCACCCCCAGCCCGTGACTTGAACAATGTCACCGTCAGGCACTTCATCTACACATTCCTTCATTTCTACCGTTGCAATCTTGTCACTCACTTCCACAGGTTCAGAAAGCCATACAATACCAATGTCACTGTCAAATTCTTCATAGTCGAATTTAGGATGCGGGAGAACTTTTGCCACTAGGTACAGTTCACCATCACGGTCAGAAAAGGAGGAACCAGCTCGAATTTGGTAAATGGAAGCGTCTAGACTGAAACAGAACAATTTTTCAATGGAAACTGGAAATTGGGCATAAATTGCCACTAAGAATTTTAGATTTAATTTTGTCACTTTCCTGAAAATGAGGCATTTGAAAAGATGAAAATAACTAGCTTTGCCCGCCACTTCGTACGCGGGAAAATAGTTGAATGTCACTGTCTATTTTCACCATCAACCGAAATTATTTTTTCAAATCGGACCAAGTAGTTCCTGAGATAGCGTGTCCAAGCAAGGAAACAAGTTACAAATTAGTAAAACTTACCTATTAAGACAATGTGCAGCAGTTATTACAATATCCTTGGCGACTAAGGTGCCTTCACAATAGTGCCTTCCCTTCACCTGAAGAGACACTTGGTAAGGTGCTTCGGAGATGTCAATATCTTCGCCTCCAACTATTCCATCGTTGTGTCTCAACATGGGAAGAACAGCGACTGGATATATAATGTTTGATTATTTTTATACATACTATAAATCTCTTGATTAAACAGCAAAAACATATGGGCGTAAGAAATACATCCACGATTTGGCCTCGTCGTGGAATCGCAGAAGTAGGTAAACGATAATCTGAAAAACTTTCGAGTCTATGCTAAATACAACACAATCGTATTTTTTCTTAACGTAATCGTAATAGTGCTTATGAAAAGGATCAACAGAAGATGATCGTAGTATGACGATTAAGTTCGATCGTCTTCTGTAATAATTTTGCTTTCAAAATTTGTGAACTGCGAACTGCTAGTGATGTAGGTGATTGTGTTGATAAATTACTTACCTTTGGCTTCGCTGCTCAAATACTGCACTAGCAAACACAAGGCAACTGCAACCCACATTTTGCTGAAGTAGAAATGTACATAGAGACTCCAAACATTTCTTTTAAATAGGTTTCGTTCATAATTACACGTGTCCAGTTAAGGTACAACGAACACTAAAATCCTTATTGTTTAAAATTATGTCATGTAAAATGGATGTGTTTTATTAGAATGCCTTTTTAGGCTTTATCACTTATAGGGTTTCAAGGGGCCGTATTAATAATTATGGCTTTGTTGTTTGTCTATTTTTCGGGAGTGCACTACCGCAGCAAAATTTTTATAAATGTTGTGCTTTAGAGAGTCGAGAGTATAGCAGATAATTAGTCCATCGTGAGCAGAAATTTGTCCACTAATAGCAAAATTCGTTCAAATTATAGTTTTAAAGTTATTAGGAAAAAACAGATTTTGCTGCGGTAACGTTTCAAACATTACCCTGGCAAAATTTTTTTTGAAAGTCGTTCTATCCCGGAACCAAATACATAGATAGCTATTGTTGCGTAGTAATTTGTCCACGAATAGCAAAATTTGTTCGTGTTCCGGTTCTGAAGTTATTTAGAATTTTGCTGGGGTAATATTTTGTGATGTCCCAGATCTCGTAAATGGCTCAACGCAGAAGTTTGAAAAAAATAAGAATGATAGGCCTACATCATTATCTAAGAATAAATTTAAAAATTTATATTATTATTTATCATCATCAAGTCATTCATTCAGTCTTCACTGCAGAAGGAAGATTATCTCTCCAGTTTACCAGAAGCAAGAGAGTGATTTGGTTGATGCTGCCCACGGTCTACCTAGACGGTTTATTGTAACAAGATATTTTATAAATAAAATTAGCAAGACTAAATAATCATGTTTTGACAACTTGTAATAATCAAAATGGTAATTATATTCATAAGTTTGATTCGAGTTTTGAGATTTTGAGAGTCGTTCTATCAGCGCCCAGTGTGCGACACACCTTATACAGTGTGAGTCACGTTAAAGTGCACATATGAAAATAGATGAAACTAGACCTATTTTTATCGACAAAAAAGAGGTAAAAAAATTTTTGAGATTTTTTTTTAATTTTTTATAGAATTTTTTTTCATCCAATTACTTATTGTAAAGAAAACGTGATAACTTTTAAACTAAGCGGTATATCCTGATAAAATAAAAACAGTAATAATGCTAAATAACAGGCAAAACTAAAAAAATACATAAAATACACAAAAAAAGCCAAAAAATAATAAAAAATGATACTTTTTGAAAAAAAATTGCTTTTAAATTCGTGTTTTTTTGGTTATTTGATAAATTTCTCTAAAAAATGCCCCTATAACCGGTGGTTTTTATTACTTTGTATTAATTTCTATCGTATTACCTTCGTAAAACCAAAAATCGCATGTCTCTATCCCTATCACAACGTTTGCAATGATCGTTTGAACTAAGCCTCTCCGGGCGCACCATTCAACGCTTCGTTAACAACGAAACTGAAAATGGCTCTAGATTTGTAATTTTGATAAAGACAAGTTAGATTTCAAATAAAAACAAAAGATTTCGAAGTAAAATAAGCATTTTAGTAAAAATTAAAATTGTCTCTAACTGTAGCGGAGACTAATGTTGTGGCAGGCCTTTGTTCAAATGATCATTGCAAACGTTGTGATAAGGATAGAGACATGCGATTTTTGGTTTTACGAAGGTAATACGATAGAGAATAATACAAAGTAATAAAAATCACCGGTTATAAGGGCATTTTTTGGAGAAATTTATCAAATAACCAAAAAAACACGAATTTAAAAGCAATTTTTTTTCAAAAAGTATCATTTTTTATTATTTGTAGGCCTTTTTTGTGTATTTTATGTATTTTTTTAGTATCGCCTGTTATTTATCATTATTATTGTTTTTATTTTATCAGGATATACCGCTAAGTTTAAAAGTTATCACGTTTTCTTTACAATAAGTAATTGGAAGAAAAAAAATTATATAAAAAATTTAAAAAAAATCTCAAAAACTTTTTGACCTCTTTTTTGTCGATAAAAATAGGTCTTGTTTCATCTATTTTCATATGTACACTTTAACGTGACTCACACTGTATAACAAATATTTCAAAATAAATAATGTATAATTCAACATAAATTTTGGCATGTTAATCATGAGCATAAGGTGTAATAAAATGTAATAGGAATTATAAAATGTGATTGACGTAGTAACATAAATACTTACTTGTGTATCGGAATTCAGGCATTTCTGTTATTTCAGATAGGTACTAAAGAGTTCAATAAACTTAGTGCAATTTTACACCCGTTTATATTATTATAGAATGTTGGAAAAGCAAAAATCTATACTTATAATACATCTGTAGAGAGGTCAATTCTGTACATGAAATATATTTTCAAAATAACTATCAGGGGGTGATTAGTGATCGATACTGATGCCAAAAATGCAATCAGTAAAATTTTTGTCTGTCTGTCTGTATGTTCCTTATATAAACTAAAACTACTCGACGAATTTTAACGAAACTTGATACAATTATTCTTCGTACTCCTAGGCAGGTTATAGTATACTTAGGAATTCCTACGAGAACGGGAATTAGCGGGAAAATCCTTTTGTATGAAAAATCTAAACCGCTTAAGTTAGACGCTTGAAATTTAGCATGCAGGTATCTTAGTAAACTTAAAGCTTAGTTACAACAGGATATTGCAAAATTCTCACGGGAACGGGAATTAGCGGGAAAATCCTTTTGTATGAAAAATCTAAACCGCTTAAGTTAGACGCTTGAAATTTAGCATGCAGGTATCTTAGTAAACTTAAAGCTTAGTTACAACAGGATATTGCAAAATTCCCATGGAAACGGGAGTTAGCGGGAAAACACATTTGTATGTAAAAATCTAAACCGCGTAAGATATATGAAGGGGGTAAAACGGGATCCACGCGTACGAAGTCGCGGGCGGCCGCTAGTAAATAAATAAACGTGTAAGCTAACTCATTGAACACTCAAAACTCGACTTAAATAATAAATAAATAATTATTATTGAGTATTTTTGCACTCGCGAATTTAAACGCGTGAAAATAGTTTAGATAATATTACCGTACCCGTTTTTGTAAATTTTTTTTTTCAAAAACGCATTTCAAAGAAGTGTGCGTTGTACCTTATATGGACACGTGTAAGTATGCATGAAACCTATTTAAAGGAAATGTTCGAAGTCTGTATGTACGAGAACCATTCCACTTCAGCAAAATGTGGGTTGCAGTTGCTTTGTGTTTACTAGTGCAGTTTTTGAGCAGTGAAGCCAAAGGTAAGTAGTTTATCAACACAATTAGCTACATCACTAGCAGTAAACAGAAGAATATAGAACTCAGTCGGAAAATTACGATCATCTTATTAATATGTTGAGCCTTTTCACAGACACCATTATAATACGAGTATAAATCATGTTTGTGTAGTATTTAGCAACTTGAAAGTTTTTCTCGATTACTTCTGCAGTTCCACGACGAGGCCAAATTAAGGAATGTATTTCTTATGCTCATATTTTTTTCTGCTGTGAGCTGCTGCTGCTGTCAATAAAGAAACATCTTCCTATAATTTATAGTAGGTATAAAATAAATCATACATTTTAATTCCAGTCGCCGTACTTCCTATGTTGAGGCACAATGACGGAATAGTTGGAGGCGAAGATATTGACATCTCCGAAGCACCTTACCAAGTGTCTCTTCAGGTGAATGGAAGGCACTCTTGTGGAGGCACCTTAGTTGCCAAGCATATCGTGATAACTGCTGCACATTGCATTGGAACGTAAGGTTTACATTATTTTAAGAAATTTCATCTTTCAATTCCCCATTTTAAAAAAAAGAGTCCAACAAAAATGTTGTAAAAAATATTACAACTTTTGTCAAATTCTTAGGTTCTACTTGAAATACTTCACTTCTGTTTTAGTCTTGACGCTTCCAAGTACCAAATTCGAGCTGGTTCCTCCTTTTCTGGCCGCGATGGTGAACTGTACCCAGTGGCAAAAGTTCTCCGACATCCCAACTATGGCCAAAATAATTTTGACTGTGACATTGCTATTATGTGGCTCTCCAAACCTGTGCGATTGAGTGACAAGATTGAAACGGTGGAAATGAAGGGTGTGGGCGAAGAAGTGCCAGACGGTGACATTGTTCAAGTCACGGGCTGGGGGCAAACTACGCCTGAGAGATCGTGGGTAAGTTCTAAAATTCAATAACTCAAAAATTCCCCATTCTTTGCCCCACCACTAAAACCCATTTAAAACCAGAGTTTGGCCTGCAATGTTGTTAATATAATATATTATTTGAGTATTTTGCAGTTGTTTAAATATTTGCAGGTTTACAACGACCGGATGCTGCAAAGAGTTCTGATCCCGAAGATTGCTGATTCGAAGTGCCGTGATGCTTATGACGACTTATTCACAGACAATATGCTGTGTGCTGGACTACCAGAGGGCGGGAAAAATGCTTGTTTTGTTAGTATTGTGTAAAAAAAATTAATGCGTTCCTTTTTGTAGGATGATAAAAGATATCTTTTACTTAGTCCACTACAAAAGTATTCTTTAAACAACCCGTTTGCTATTCTGATGCCAGAACATCCATAAGTTTCACTAAGGCCCGATTCGACCAAACTTTTATCCGAGAATAACTCCTGGTATAACTGACACATTCACATGACAGTAATTTCAGTATGGGAAATTAAATATGGCAAAACTGACCATTTATTCTGAGATTAATATTCACTCTTGTTTGGTCGAATCCACCCTAAAACGTCTTAAGCCAAATAATATCAGTGCACTGATTGAATAAACTTTCCTATTTAACAGGGCGATAGTGGTGGTCCTCTTATCCACAATGGCAAGCTGGCTGGCGTGGTCAACTTCGGATACGGATGCGCAAGACCTGAGTGGCCTGCAGTCTACGCGAAGGTATCTGCCCTTAGACAGTGGGTGGATGAACAGCTGAAGTTGACCGTCCCCGATTTGTAATATAACGACAAAATCATGAAATCACTTCCTCTATGCTCAATGTCGAATATAATCTTACAGATTTAATTAAAAAAGAAGACACTGTCAATGGTTTAAAAAAATTCATCGACTAACTATGGTATAACTGGCACATTGACAGTTTCAGTAGGTATAGAACTATAGATGACCTAAACTGAACTGTACCATCAAACTCATTGACAGGGGGGCGCCACCATCGTTCAACTAATAGTTTCTAACATGGCAAAAATAGGAATCAGCGATCCGGTATTGACGGTGGCGCCCCCCTGTCAATGTCACGGGTGGGACAGTTCCAATGTACTGTCGCACCATAGATCGAATACAATTATTGGATCTACACTCGACATCAAATAAATCGCACCTCCCGCGACAAGCATTTTCAAACGTATGCATCCCCACTTCCCAACAATATTGGCACCATTTAAAAGCCTAGTTCTAACCTTCATTTCATTATAGGAAAGGTTTTTACCCCAAAAATGTGTCTTTAGACGGATCCAGAGTCACTTCTTCAAAAAATAGGTAGTTACGCTAGAGCCAACTTTTATGGCTATAAAAATGTTAAGTTGGGATTAATCGCTATCCATCTGTTAAAGAGGACACGTGAGATCATTATTTGGTTTTATAACCATAAAATATGGTCTCATTGATCCCATAGGTGGGCCCAAAGTGAGGTATTTTTTCAAGTCACATTTATGGTATATGTTAATCATTTATTAAGAAATTAAATGTGTTTTTCTTTAAGGATATTTATTGAGCTTTCAAATAACACCAATATTGTTGGGGCACTGTGATTGTGTCAGAAGAAAATCGTTAAAGTTCGCGTCGCGGAAGGTGCGGTTTATTTGATGTTGAGTATATTATACTGGAACATTGACAGTTTCAGTATGGGAAATTATGTCAAAACTGACAATTTATTCCGAGATTAATATTTACTCTTGTTTGGTCGAATCCACCCTAAAAGAATTTAACAAATAGAATGTAATAGGAATATTGTGGAATAAGTGAATAAATCTCATACAAAATAAATATTATAATTTTATTGAATGTTATTCATTCCTTAATGACGTCATAATTATTATAATTTATCAACTCAACGATACGTGAGTTCTCATGGTAACTACGAAATTATCTCAAGGCAAATAAATAATTATGTAGTGTGATTAGAATACGGAAATAAATAGTTAAGATAGCTCTGTTCGTATAGATTTCATCAATTCTATATCAAAATATTATCACAAAGTCTGTTTGTATAATACCTATAAACTTTTATTATATTCTATTAAATGTAATAGATTTTCTTAGAACTGATAGGAAATTGTGAACTGTCGTGTCCAAAATTTATTTGTCAATGATGATCACTGTCAATTTTTTCGATGACGATCTCAAATTGAAGGGTAAAGTATGTTATAGCTGTATCTCATGTTGATAGCCCAATAAAATAAATAAACAAATAAATAAATAAAGTAAAGAAGAATGAGTGACTAGGTGAACAAGCTTTAAAAGATTCTTATTTATAGTCATTATCTACCAACGTTTTTAGAATTTTCTACACTATAACTAAAATTGTATTTAACTAGGTACCTACCACTAGCTACTTTTCACTTTCTGTCTCACAAACTTTTTACTGACTAAACTATACAAAGAATAAAGGGTCACAAGGGTCAAAGTGACCACAGTCAACAAAGCTAAAACTACATAAGTGACTAGTTCTAGTTCTAAGTATTGATACAAAGGCAAATTGGCAGCCGCCGCGCGTAAGTGACGTGCGCCGGAGTGTCTAAGCACGTGTTCTGTCCACCACACCGCGCGCTCTAATGGGCTTTGGGGCTGGTCGCGCATTATACTTCGGAGATGCACGATGTTTTGACGATAGCTGAAAATAAAAAAATAATGGTTAACTCGATGGGTGCCGGGAATAAAGCCACAATCGACAAAACACAATTTTACAGAAGAGATTTAGTGTAAATTTTGAATAATTCTAAACTACGAGGCGTATCAAAACGGTTTGTAAATCAAACCATGCGTTATTTTTTCTGGAGTAACATTTAATGTGCATAAGGTTATAGTGCTGAGAATATACTTTAAAAAGGTAGAAATACATATTGCCGCTTCATACATTGAAAGTCGGTTCCGTAAGAGTCCATTGTGGTTTTATTCCGGTAAAAAGTGTGCAATTAATCAAACAGCAATAGTGTATTGCAGCCTCGGGCGCTGATCTGTAGGATACAGTAATAGCCGTTTGCTTGTAGAAGATTTAAATAAAAGTTTTAACATTGTATAAATGGCTAATCGTGCCAACAAATTTTAAATGATGAATGGGAATAACGATTCAATATCCATAGTGCTTTTGGTAAATCAGGCAGTTTCAAAGATAAAATTCTGAAAAAAAGTTCAAAAGGTGTAGTTTACTAAAATCACTTAATCAGAAAACTGCTGCTATGGCTATTGCGGCTTTATTCCAGGCACCCATCGAACTGAGGTAAACAGCAGGACGTCCACTGCTGAACATAGGGTTAGACTTCCCCAGGTTTTCAGATTGACTGGGCGCCTTTTTGTTACCTGTATAAGGTCAACTGTAATTTTGTGGATGGACTATCCCATGCCGCGCTTGCCTGTGCGTGACCACTATTATAGAGCCTTACTGCCCCATCGCCCGTCAATTCTGCGTGGTTATTACCCTGCCCATTGCCACTTCAGCTTGCTTACCCATCAGATTTTTTATCGGTTATTTAAATGAATACGTCTCCAATGTAAATACAATTAAAAACGAAGTTGTATAAAATATCAGCGACATACCTTTTATTATCTTTCAAGATTGTTTGGATAGCACTGCTTAGTTTATCTTCCGATACTGTATCCATATCGACTCTGATACCAATATTATAGTGCACATATTGTTCCACATTAAACCATTGGTCTCCTAACATTGGCATTCCAATTAAAGGCACTCCAGCAGTGATGGCCTCATCCGTAGATTGCAGACCTCCTTGTGTGATGAACAATTTTACTTTTGGGTGACCTGGAAAAGAATATCAATTAACGAAAATCATCATTTCATCGCCTTCTTCATCTCTTTCTTCATTGGAATCAAGGACAGTCTTTTATAAATTTTCTGTGCGATTAAACTTGTGATTTAAGATTTAAAAACTTTTCTGATAAATAGATTTATACATATAATATGAATCGACCGATTTTATCAAAACTAATTTTGCTTGTTGTTTCATCATTAGATACCATCATAAATACTAATCTAATAAAATAACAATCCATTCAGTTTTCTGATGGACTTTACTTTTTCCAATAAAAGCTAAGGACATTTTTTCGCTTAGCGATATTAATGAGATACTAGTATACGTACGTAAAAGATCGCTTTGAGGCAACCATTTTGAAATCCTGATATTAGGAGTTCTCCCAGGCAGCTCATCTTGATTCCACTTCCACAAGATATCGTAGGGTAGTTTAGAAAGTACGTTGATCATCGTCTGTATTTTTTCCGGAGGTAACAGAGCTGGATCTACGTTGGTTCCAAAACTAATGTATATAACACCATTCTTAGATGAGTCCAAATAGTTTTTGAGATCCTGAAAAATTGTGAATTTATATAAAAAAAATGATATTTAATAATCTTTTTACCATTGAATAAATANAAGCACGCGATAGTAAATACGTACCGAAAACTGGTCATGCTAATCACACAACAAACTTGATACTATTAAATAAGCCGTTTGTATAAGCTTATATACGTTCTATTAAAATTTTGCTAAGTCATTCCGAGATGACTATGTAATTACGCTATCAATTTGTTTGTTGTCTGGCTAGTTTTTTTATTAATATTGATACTGCTTATCAGTTTTTGCAGACACGCCACTAGCAACGCACTTGGTACCTCACAAACATTTATTACGCCATCTTCATTGATACGAGTGTGTAAACAAACTCTATTTGCTTTGTAGGAAATTTTATTTGTAGACTAGCGGCCACACGCGACTTCGTACGCGTGAATCCCGCTTTACCCCCTTAGGGGTGGAGTTTCGTAAAATACTTTCTTAGCGGATGCCTACGTCATAACATCTACCTGCATGCCAAATTTCAGCCAGATCTGTCCAGTGGTTTGGGCTATGCGTTGATAGATCACTATGTCAGTCAGTCAGTCAGTCAGTACGGTGAAGTCAGAAATTTGATATCATCGTTATAACATATATAAATATATTTTTTTTATTTCTGTAAATCATTTACATATATTGGTTATAACATAAGTTATTTTTATATACAGGGTGACTGGAACTGAACCCGCCATAGCTAATACGCGTATAGAGGAGGTCATTTGCTAATTATTGAACCTTACTTTCTATGACTAAAGTTTCATAGTTTAGGAGATATGTCAATTTTCATACTTTTTCCGAAATTTGACCTACAAAATGCTTAATTTTTTTTTCTCGCATGATTTTAACCGATTTTTTATTTGATACTAATATCGAATAAACCTTTAGTCAAATAAAATAAATTTCAGATCCAGATAATGATTGAATAACTAGTTACGAGCCGCCAAAGTTTAACAAAAGTACAAACCACGATAAAAAATTCAAGTTCGAATTCGATTTATAAAAAAACGAATGATGATAATGGATTGCCAATGATCTTAAAAATATCTTTACCTTCTCTTCTTTCCAATGATATATCACACGTAGTAATTAGATATTTATTAAAAAATCAAAGTTTATGGAAGAAAATGGAGTAATAATACGAAAATTATCCATACAAAGTTTCTTAAAACATCTCATATTTTCTGCTATACTCCTTTTCATTACTATTTTTGTGTTTCTTGAAAAATTAATTTAAAATAATAATCACATTATGAAGAAAAATTTAAAAAAAAATCAAAATCAACTTTGTACGTATAATTTTTGTATTATTACTCCATTTTCTTCCATAAACTTTGAATTTTTGACAAATTTCAATATCTAATTACAACGTGTGATATATCATTGGAAAGAAGAGAAGCTAGAGATATTTTTAAGATTATTGGCAATCCATTATCACCATTAGTTTTTTTAAATTAAATTCGATGTACAATTTTTTTTCGTGGTTTGTACTTTTGTTAGACTTTGGCGGCTCGTAACTAGTTATTCAATCATTATCTGGATCAGAAATCTATTTTATTTGAATAAAGACATATTCTATATTAATATCTAATAAAAAAACTGTTGAAATTACGCGAGAAAAAAAAAATTAAGCAGTTTTTAGGTCAAATTTCGGAAAAATCTGAAAAAAGTATAAAAATTGACATATCTCCTAAACTATAAAACTTTAGACATAGAAAGTAAGGTTCAATAATTAGCAAATTACCTCCTCTATACGCGTATTAGCTATGGCGGGTTGAGTTCCAGTCACCCTCTATATTTTTTTTGATCACCGTCAATAACGCCCCCTGTTGCGCGCCTTCTTGGCTGGTAGCCTCTATATGGTCTCGGTCAAGAGGGCGCGCAATCCGCAATCCTCTTCGTATAATGGTTCCCGCTGAAAACCAGCTTCTCGACATGGCGCTTGTTATGTCGCGAATATAGCTGAGCGGTCGCCACTTCAGCATAGTTTGTAGTTTAATGTCATGTAATGTATTTTTATTTTTCTATGCTGAATAAAGTATTCTTGATTGGTTCGTGTCCATACGTACTCTGAGACCTCATAGTAATGTTTGTGAATACGGGCGTGAGAAGTAGCACTTTGCAAGACTCGAGCGTCATCATCTTCGTCATCATTTCCACTACAGGACGTCCGTTGCTAAACATAGGCCTCTTCGAATAATTTCAAGAGTGCTTCAAAAGTGGAAATGTACCTACAATAAAATTCCTCGGGCTAAGTCAAAGACTGTTTTCATAAAATAATTTACCGACTTGTTCAAGTCGTGTATAATTGAATTAGGTCCAAAATACTAACAAATTAATATACCTGTCATCTTTCATGATTGTTTGAATGGCATTGCTTAGTTCATCTTCTGATATTGTATCCATATCCACTCGGATGCCAATCTTATGGTACACATATTGTTCTACGTTATACGTCTCCTAGCATTGGCATTCCTATCAAAGGCACTCCAGCAGAGATGGCCTCATCCGTGCCTCATCCGTAGATTGCAACCTCCTTGGGATATGAACAGTTTTACTTTTGGGTGTCCTGGAAAAAAAGATCAAAATTAGATCCATTAGATCAACGTCTTTCCTGTCTCTTAACACTGAGTGCAGCAACTGTTGTTAAGGTTATTTACATAATTTATCAAATAATAAGAAAACTTACGTAAGAGATCGCTTTGAGGCAACCATTTTGAAATCCTGATATTAGGAGTTCTCCCAGGCAGCTCATCTTGATTCCACTTCCACAAGATATCGTAGGGTAGTTTAGAAAGTACGTTGATCATCGTCTGTATTTTTTCCGGAGGTAACAGAGCTGGATCTACGTTAGTTCCAAAACTAATGTATATGACACCATTCTTAGATGAGTCAAAATAGTTTTTGAGATCCTGAAAAATTGTGAATTTATATAAAAAAATGATATTTAATAAGCTTTTTACCATTAAATAAATGTAAACATTGATCATGGTATCACGATATCCTGCAGATCAAAAAAGTATTGAGTTTGTAATTTGTTAATTAATTTTAATAGACTATCATTTAGGCATAATCATAATATTATTAGTAATATTTTTTCGATTCCAAATAAAACGAAAATATTTTAGAGTGATATTGATATAAAACAACCAATCTTTAAAGATAATACGAGTACGTACTTGAGGTAATTCCTTTTCGGGTTTTTGATGCAATCCTCCCATATAGATTACATTCGGTGGAACCGGTCGGTTGTTTTCCCAAATCGGATGAATATTCACAAATAACATGTCCACATTGTTCTTTAATTCTGTCAAAGGAGGGGTTTCTGTTCCAAATACTGCAGCAATTCTTTCATCATAAAATTTTTCAACTGCAGCTAATATAGCCAAGGTATCATAGTAATGGTATATTTCAGACAGTTTTTCGAACAGGCTGATGTGGTTCAAAGTCTGTTGCATAGCAGTCGGGTACAAAATGGGATGAGACACTGCCCCCACCATGTGCAGATTGTCCTCCGTATTTCCAAGAGAACTGACTTGTATCACAGGTGCTTTGAACACATGCGACAAAGCAAGCAATGGCGTGAAAAAAGCTTCCAGTAACAGCAGATCAAACTTCTGTGATTTATATTTCAACAGCTTTTGGAATTCGGTCGTCAACATCTGTTCCTCAAAAACTTTCATCATTGTTTTCAATGACATACTGACTTGCCCCGACAGTTCTTCTTTGCTACCTGACGCTACGCTTGCCTGTAGAAATTCTGTCCTCCAAATTCCATAAGACAGGTCGTGTACATCAATTTCTGTCAAATTTGTTGGTGCTCCACCATTTTTGTACACTGGATCAGTAGTTACAACAACCACTTCGTGACCTCTTTTCACTAGCTCTTCTACGAGAGGCCGAAACACTACTTGATGGCTAATTGACGGCGTCGGAAACACCGCAAGTATTCGCGACGCTTCATTGTGAGCTATGAAGCACGCGATAGTAAATACGTGCCGAAAACTGGTCATGCTAATCACACAACAAACTTGATACTATTAAATAAGCCGTTTGTATAAGCTTATATACGTTCTATTAAAATTTTGCTAAGTCATTCCGAGATGACTATGTAATTACGCTATCAATTTGTTTGTTGTCTGGCTAGTTTTTTTATTAATATTGATACTGCTTATCATTTTTTGCAGACACGCCACTAGCAACGCACTTGGTACCTCACAAACATTTATTACGCCATCTTCATTGATACGAGTGTGTAAACAAACTCTATTTGCTTTGTAGGAAATTTTATTTGTAGACTAGCGGCCACACGCGACTTCGTACGCGTGAATCCCGCTTTACCCCCTTAGGGGTGGAGTTTCGTAAAATACTTTCTTAGCGGATGCCTACGTCATAACATCTACCTGCATGCCAAATTTCAGCCAGATCTGTCCAGTGGTTTGGGCTATGCGTTGATAGATCACTATGTCAGTCAGTCAGTCAGTCAGTACGGTGAAGTCAGAAATTTGATATCATCGTTATCTACACTAATATTATAAAGAGGAAAACTTTGTTTGTTTGTTTGTTTGTTTGTTTAGTTGTAATGGATAGGCTCAAAAACTACTGGACCGATTTTAAAAATTCTTTCACCATTCGAAAGCTACATAACTCACAAGTAACATAGGCTAAGTTTTATTTTGGAAAAAAATAGGGTCCCGTAAAATATTTATGTTGTATTTATTAATATTGAACCCTATTTACCGATTCAGCAGATCTACACTAGTATGTAGTTACGTCTCTAGTTAATAGACAAATCGCTCTATGTCGCCATCTTGTTGTCTGTGGTAATCTCTCTGCAATAAAACTGCGTCTGCTAAATTTAAACTATTTTTTATTTAAATTCATCAGGTTATGGGCCCAGGCCACCTGATTTTTGCATAAAAGTGAACAGTAGAATAAAACAAATAGTTTAACAGTTAGTAAATTGAGAAATACGCAAAAATATTGCAAAAATTTTCACGTGGTTCCATCTTTAAAATTCAGCAAAAATGTCGTCAAATAATACAATGGCGTTAATCGAAAAGCTGACAGGACGAGATAATTATCCCACTTGGAAATTCGCAGTCCAAACATATCTCGAACATGAGGAACTTTGGTGCTGTATAACGGCGAAGGAGCCTGTTGATTCCAGACTTGACACGAAGGCCAAATCGAAAATAATTTTACTTGTACATCCTATCAACTATGTACATATTCAAGAGGCCAAAACTGCAAGAGAGGTATGGAATAACCTCGCCAAAGCGTTCGATGATAACGGTTTGACACGCCGTGTTGGATTGCTAAGAGATCTGATCACAACCACTCTTGAAAGTTGTCTGAACATAGAAGACTATGTGAACAAAATAATGACCTCCGCACACAAGCTAAGAAACATCGGGTTTGAAGTGAATGACGTCAGCAAAGCGTTGCACTTTCCACCACTGAAGCGGAATTTATGGCCGCCTGTTCTGCGACAAAAGAAGCTTTGTGGTTGAAAAGACTGTTATTAGATATTGGTAAATTCAATCAGGATTCAATTTGTTTGAATATAGATAACCAAAGTGCAATTTGTTTAATCAAAAATATTGATTACCATAAGCGTTGTAAACACATCGATATCAAATATAATTTTATAAAGGAGAAATATGTAGAGAAACAAATTGATCTCAATTATGTTTGTACTAAGGAGCAATTTGCTGATGTATTCACTAAAGCTTTGCCTAGAGACAAGTTTCAGTATCTTAGAAGTAAAATTGGTATTAAGAAACTTGCACATTACTAAAACTGTTAATTTTTGGTGAGAGTTATTAATATGTCTTTAAGTTTACTTTAGATGCAAAATGTTATTTGTATTGATTTTAAAGTAGCTATGTTTTAAGAACAAGGGTTCAAATTAGGTGAGAGTGTTGTATTTATTAATATTGAACCCTATTTACCGATTCAGCAGATCTACACTAGTATGTAGTTACGTCTCTAGTTAATAGACAAATCGCTCTATGTCGCCATCTTGTTGTCTGTGGTAATCTCTCTGCAATAAAACTGCGTCTGCTAAATTTAAACTATTTTTTATTTAAATTCATCAATTTAGGATTTTCATAAGACGTGGAAAAGCGCCATCTATCGTCATTGGTTAAAATCTTCTTGCGCCTGAAAAACATTTTTGAGGTACGTAAATATTCATGAAGGCAAAGCTGTCAAACGCCATCTATCGACATCATAGTAAATTAGTAACTAAATATTACATGTACTATGAATAGCGCTGTTCGTAAATAATATTGAAAATTTAATAAATAAATATTATTTTATGTAATTGAACCATTCACTGTATGTACCTATTTGAATCATTAACTGGGTTTAAACGAGCAAATCAAAGTGTTAATTAGTGACTTTTTACAAACTTCCTTGCAAATTCTTACTATGTGCCGCCATCTACCGAGATGAATATTAGGGTACGGTTCAGCGGCGGACAAATGGGATGGGCGCGTGGGCGATTGTAGTTAAATAGGATAAGAATTACTTCGTTTTTATTTTCTGTATGTAATTTGTAAATTTTTTGATAGGGTCTTTATTTTAATTACTTAGGTTGGTAGGTACTTACTTATTTGATTTTAATGATAATTACTATAGGTACGTGTAATTTTAGTAGAAAGAAAGGTCATTGAATGACTAAGTGACTCACTCACTCATCACGAAGTCTCGGAAACTACAAGTCTCAAAAGAGTTCTCATAGGGGTTAATGGTCTATCTATTCCACTTGGATCACCTAGCTGGCTTTGATCACCAAGATGATCAAAGTGGACTCCAATTAAATGATTTTTTTAGTGTTCTTTGATCACCTATAAATAAATCATACCTCTGAATTGTCACATACATGTCCAATTTGTTTATTGCGGTTTTTAGAAAATATCAAAAATGTTACAAAACAAAATATTATGTAGTACAACAATTGGACATGTGACTATTCAGAGGAGGTGTGATTTGTTTGTAGATGATCAAAGGACACTAAAATAATAATTTAACTAGAGTCTACTTGGCTCACCCAGGACATCGTATCCGTGGGTGATCAAAGGCACAGAATAAATTCAAAGGACACTAAATTGTCGCTGTAAGTCCACTTTGATCACCTGGCTGATCAAAGCCAGGTGATCAAAGTGGAATACACCTCCTTTTAGAACGTAGGTAGTCACTAAGACGAAATTTTGCAAAATTCAACCCTTATGGGAGTTAAAAAGGGGGTTAGAAGTTTGTATTGCAGTCCTCGGTTTTTAAAGTAAGAGACTTGAAAGTTAAAGTGTATGCTCACTATGATCTCTAGATATTGTGGAGGTGTACATATACTGTTCGGTACACTGTGGTACTGTGTACACATCGGTTTGCCGACGATATTGTGGTCATGGCAGAATCGTTGGAAGATCTTGGCACAATGCTCGAAGACCTTAATCGATTTTCCCAACAGGTAGGCCTGAGGATGAACATGGACAAAACGAAGCTTATGTCGAATGTCCATGTTGCGCCCTACCCAGTTTCAGTTGGGAGCTCAATTCTCGAGATTGTCGACAAGTAGGTATGTCTACCTCGGACAAACGATCCAGCTAGGTAGGTCCAATTTCGAGAAGGAGGTCAATCGTCGAATCCAACTCGGCTGGGCAGCGTTCGGGAAACTACGCAACATCTTTTCGTCCAAAATACCTCAATGCCTGAAGACTAGAGTGTATAACCAATGTGTGTTACCAGTGATAACTTATGGCTCGGAAACGTGGCCTCTCACTATAGGCCTTATACAGAAGCTCAGTTGCACAGCGTGCTATGGAGAGGGCTATGCTTGGTGTTTCTTTGCGAGATCGAATCAGAAACGAGGAGATCTGTAAACGAACCAAAGTCGCTGACATAGCCCGACGGATTAGCAAGCTGAAGTGGCAATGGGCAGGGCACATAGTACGCAGAACTGATGGCCGATGGCGCAGAATGGTTCTGGAATGGAGGCCGCGTACCGGAAAACGTAGCGTGGGACTTCCACCTACAAGGTGGACCGACGACATCGTAAAGGGAAGCGCTGGACGCAGGCCGCTTCCAATCGATCAACATGGAAAGCATTGGGGGAGCTATGTTCAGCAGTGGACGTCCTATGGCTGAAATGGTGGTGGTGGTGGTGGTACATATACTGAAAATGTATCATTAGAAATCAACTACGGGGGCTAAGGAGATAAAAGGAGGATTGGAAGTTTATATTATGAAAGTCCTATGTGTTTAAAGTAAGAGAGTTGAAATTTAAAATGTATGCGCTATAGATGCTAAAAGTGGATTTTACGAAACTCCACCCCTAATGGAGTAAAACGAGGTCCACGCGTACGAAGTCGCGGGCGGCCGCTAGTAATATAATATAAATAGACCGACGATCTGGTGAAGGTCGGTCGCGGGAAGTACCTGAATGCGGACAGCGCAGGACCGGTCATTGTGAAAATTTTCAGAGGAGGCTTGTCCAGCAGTGGACGTCTTTTGACGGAAACAGATGTAGCAATTATGTACCAAAGTAATTAAAACATGTCAAGGAAAAAAAAGAGTTATTTAAGTTTTCAGTATTACACAATTAGGTTCTTTTCAACTTAGTACTTTTGCTCAGTCTAATCACAGTTCTGTATAAAAGGTAGCATGCAAAAATGATGCTTAATATCACAGTTATGAAGCCTAAAATTACATAAATAACTAGTTCTATTTCTAAGTATTGTTGCCAGGACATGTTGGCTGCCGCTGTGCGTAAGTGTCGTGCGCCGGAGTGGCGGATCACGTGCTCTGTCCACCACATTGCACGCTCTAGTGGACTCTGGGGCTGGTCGTACATTAAGGTTCGGAGACGCGCTATGTTATCGTAGTAACTGAAATAAAAGGTTATTTTTATTAGAGTATGAAGGAAGGAGGCATAACGTTCGAATGTCTTAAGAGATAATATCCGCATCAATGGAAAAATTCCTTTCCGTCACAACCCGTTACTTCATCAAAATTCACCTCCACCATCTAGGTATATGTATTTTAATCACTGAAGAAAGAGGTGATTTAAGGCTGAAATGCACCACCTAAATTTAATCGTTACCATACTGTGCTATAACGTTAACCAGTGCATTTTGTATGGAGTTTGACAGATTTTTGACGTTAAAGTCAAAGTAACATGATGGCAATCCAGCCTAAGACTGTCAGTTATTAATAATGGTAAAGAGATAGATTGAGTCCCGGGAAAGGACAGAATAGTTTTATCCAAGTCTAGAAGAGGGACACGCACGAGATATAGATTTTCTGTTGACAGACCAAATTCACGCAAGTGAAACCACGGGCAAAGGTTATACATATTTTACACTCGTATGCATATTGCATAAGGAAATATTCCAGATTGCATACTAGACTGAGCAGCTCAATCGAATGATTGATATTATTATGACCAGATAGATAATAACACCGATAACATGCGATGGCAATCACAATAAGGGTCTGATTTCACGATAAATGTAAGTAGGCATACCTACTCGTTTTCTAAAGATCAAATTGATGAGACAACTTTTGACATTTCCTTAACTATCATAGAATAGTAACAAGTAATAAAACTATTAAAATGGTCTCAGTAAGGCTAAAAAGATCACCTGAATTTGGCTCAAATATGGCATTTTCATTAAAATTCGAAACATAAATGGTAAAGTATATTTAATTAGCTAGTAAATAAACCAGCAGAACGTTGTCAAAATTATTTATCTTAATGGTGACTCACCTTTTATCTTTCATAATAGTTTCGATAGCGTTTCTCAGTTTTTCTTCTGAAATGGTGTCCATGTCAATTTTGATGCCAATGTTATGGTACTCATATTGTTCTATATTAAACCACTGGTCTCCAAACATGGGGATGCCGATCAAAGGTACACCAGCTGTTATGGCTTCGTCAGTTGATTGTAGACCTCCTTGTGTGATGAATAGTTTTACTTTTGGATGACCTGGAAGAAAACACAGTTGAATTAACTGATGATGATAATTTTTTCTAGGTTTCATAGTTAACTTAGGAGGCTAAGACGTATAAACTTGAATTTTCAATTTTGATCTTTTAAGTATCATTTTTCACTAATATGGGAAGCAAAATCTTGGAAGTAAAAGCCGATAAAATTCTGATGCAGACTATGTCAGACACTTTAGCTCATAAAATTTTAATTTTTACAACGGACAAAAACAAAAGACTAAGAAGAAAATAAATAGTACAAAATCCAGCTGATCCATTAGGATTAGTAGGCATATATGGCAGCTGCATATTTAATTCAACAATTGAAAGTATAATATTAATAATATGGCAAATGGAATGAGTCTTGTTATTAATACGTACGTAAAAGGTCCGACTGTGGAAACCATTTTGAAATTTTTATATTGGAAGTTCTTCCCGGCAATTCATCATGATTCCACTTCCATAGCACATCGTAGGGTGACTTAGAAACTGCAGCAATCATTGATTGAATTTTTTCTGGAGGTAACGAAGCTGGATCTACGTTGGTTCCAAAGCTGATGTATATGACACCATTTTCAGATGCGTCTAAATATTTTTTGAGATCCTGCAAATATTGTTTATACAGTTTAGTATTGTCTAATTCTGATTTTAATTTTAATTTTCTCATTCTAATTTTTAGTTAGTGAAACTATCACTTACCTGAGTTAATTCCTTTTCTGGTTTCTGATGAACACCTCCCATGAAGATGACGTTTGGTGGAACCGGACGATTTCTTTCCCATATCGGATGGATATTTAATAACAATAAATCAACATTATTTCTCAGGTCATCAATCGATGGGACACTCTCACCAAACACTCTTTTAAGCATTTCATTGGATATTTCATATAATTTAGCAAGATTTCTTTCTGTGATGTAAGCATTGTAAATATTTGATACCTTCTCCCAAAATGTCAGATTATTGACTCTCTGAATCCCACACGTTGGGTAAAGAAAAGGATGGATTACTGCACCAAAGGTTTTCAAATTATCATCAGTCGATCCAAATGAACTGACCTGTATCACTGGTGCTTTAAATACGTGCGTAAGCCCTAACAATGGCCAGAAGTATGCTTCGAGTATCAGCAAATCAAATTTCTGCGACTTATCCATTAAAAGTTGTTTCATATCGTCCAATTGCATCTGTTTTTCAAATAGCGACATCAACAACGTTAGGATTAACCTCGATTGGGCGCGCGTATCCTTTTTATTGCCTGTTGTAAGGTTTGATGAAGTAAATACTGACCAAGAATCGTAAGAAACGTCGTGAGCATCAATTTCGAGCAAATTCTTTGGTGACCCTCCATCTTTGAAAATTGGGTCTGTTGTCAGAACAATTACTTCATGACCTCGGTTGACTAACTCCAATGTCAGCGTTCGAAACACCACTTGATGGCTTATTGATGGCGTAGGGAACACTGCAAGTATCCGAGCTCCTTCGTCACTAACAAAAGCACAAGCAATAAGTATCACTAATGAAATTAGCCTAGCCATGGCTGTATTGTTGTCACGATAATGTCTAAGCTCGTTCTGATGGATAACTTGACAATTAGAATATATATATATTATGCGTCTAATCGTTTCAACGATTTACTTTTATTGAACTTGAGTCACATTGATTTGTGCTACAATGTATCTATCGGCATAATTACCCTTATCTTCTATTTAGTTTATTTGTGTAAAGTTTTAACCTGGTTATTGGGTAACTATAGTCACTTCGGGCTGATTGATGATGAATCTAAAATGTAACCTTTTATTGGTTGACACTGACATTCCTTCAGCTTTCATCTTTACCTATTCTATACAACTGTCCTCTAAGTTGTCTAGATAAGATCGTTAGAAACCTATAAGGCCGCCTAATGTATTGTACCGTATCTTTTGTACCTATTTTTCTTGTCTTAAGTGGTGTACAATATTCTGTCTATCTATCTAGACATGAAATTTTATTTAACTTTAGCCTTGTGTTATTCTGGTGGCGAGACACCAAGCCTCAGATTTGACAATAAAGAGGTCGTAGTAATATTCAAATCTTACTGAGAAAAATGAAAACAAGCAGAGTCGAAGGAAAAAGACGGGTCATTTATCTATACTTCTTCTATACCTACTCATAATCTATCTACATATACTAATATTATAAATGCGAAAGTAACTCTGTCTGTCTGTCTTGCTTTCACGCCTAAACCACTGAACCGATTTTGATGAAATTAGAGATAGTTTGAGTTCTGGGAAAGGACATAGGATAGTTTTTATCCCGGTTTTTGAAACAGGGACGCGAGCGATAAAGTTTTTCTGTGGCAGACAAAATTCCACGCTGGCAAAGCCGCGGGCGGAAAGCTAGTAAATTATAAACCAATAACGACGAATAGTGGGCTAATTTTATTATCTTTATTAAATAATGCCCAATTCATTAGATAATGACGTTATTCAAGTGCTAATCACTAGTGGACCTTGTGCTTAGTAATCTAACTTGACTTCTGTATATTTATTTATTTTATTCCTACCCGGAAAATCAAAACAAAAACAAACAAAACTGATGGCGCATTGACCTGATCTAAATTATTTGTCAGGTCCGGTAGGAAAATAATAGTTTTATTTAAAAAAAAACATTTCCTAGGTCAATTCTAGACAAACACATGAATTTTATTAGATAAAGATTTTTTATCCTACTTTTAATATTATAAATGCGAAAGTTTGGATGTCTGGATGTCAGCATGTCTGGATGTTTGTTACTCTTTCACGCAAAAACTAATGAACGGATGTTGATGAAACTATCATCAAAATCCGTTCATTACCCCACACGTATGTGTTTGATGAAAAAAAAATTTTGACTTTCAGTCTAAGTATGGGTAGCTCCCAGTATTTTTTTATTTTTTTATTTTTGCATCAAAATCTTAATGCGGTTCACAGAATACATCTACTTACCAAGTTTCAACAGTATAGCTCTTATAGTTTCGGAAAAAAATGGCTGTGACATACGGACGGACAGACGGACGGACGGACAGACAGACATGACGAATCTATAAGGGTTCCGTTTTTTGCCATTTGGCTACGGAACCCTAAAAATAATATTGATTTAGACTCCGCCTTTATTCGGATAAACTATCCGAAACTTTTGAATCGGTTTCCGTTACGGATATTTTTTTTATTTCGGATATCTGATAGTTTCGGTTATGGTTACGGATTTCCATAACATCCCTGATTTGCATTGTGATGGAGCCCGCGGGCTTGAGGCTGCGGGGGGCGTGCGCTCAGCGCTGAAGGTGTGGAGGAACACCGCTTGTGACCGCTCGGTCAGTCTCAGATCAGTCGTTGTGAAATAATGTATGTTTTTTGTTACACTTACGACACGGTCCGAACCTACAAGAATCTAACGTATGTCCCGAACGTAAACAGTTTTCACACAACTTATGTTTAGTGATTAGATTGTCCAAATCAGAACCTAGAAATTTTTGGCACGCGTATAATGAGTGGTCGGCACTACACATTAGGTATTTTTTGATAGAAGTGAATCGTTGATGCGGCTTATTGGTGGAAACATTGCAGTGGACTTTGTTACTGTGCGATGAGAAGTTATGTTTTTTACCAAGATATTTTTAAACTTCCTACTACGGCTATGTGATACCAGCAATGTTTCCAGCATGTCAGCACGATCCTTGTCAAATTTTATCAAATTGTCTACCTTGAGAGCTTTCTTTGAATCTGAGTGATTTAATCTCGTCTAATTTGGAGGTTATTATGTAAATAACTAAAGTGTCCCAATGTTCTGTGGGTTCACCTAGTATTTTTAATGCGCGTAAGTTTTTAAGTATTGTATCTATGAGACGTCTGAGTGAATGTGGAGACTCCTTAGGGAGTTTGGTGATGGAAAACAGTGAATTTACATGATTGTGCACTAGCAAACGATTGTTATTGTATCTGTTTAGGAATAGCTCCCATGCTACTGAATAGTTAGCTGCAGAGAACTCTAAGGAATTGATAACTAGCCCTGATCTTCCCTTTAATGAGGATTTCAGGTAGTGAAATTTCTGTATATTTGAGATTTCATCAGAGTTATGCACTAGGGAAACAAAAGTATCTCGAAACTCGAGCCTATGCTCGTACACACCGTCTAAAGTAAGCATATTTATAGTCGGTAATTTAATCGAATGTAATGAACCACTAAGCACCTTAGAAGATTCACTGACCTCTGATTATGAGCTTAGAATGCATTCACAAGGCTAAGATACTGTAGCAGCTCTCTTCTTAATTGTTCTTCTAATACTGAGTCTGATACAGTTAGTTCTATTCGTGTTTGAAGAGTGCTGAATTCAGTGAGCAAGTCATTGATGCCTTTCATGCGTAACCTTAAATCTATGCGTTTTTGAACGGGTAAGTGTTAATTAACGAGAGTATTTACATAATTTGACAATCTCGTTAACCTGCCTTTTAAAATTCCCCGTATTTTAACTAACTACATAAGCACATTATTGTTACCTACTTGATTCAGAGAAAGCAAGTTTAAACGGTGACTTTTCTGATATCAATGGTGATTTGTGGAAACACTTACGGTTTAATCCTGGTGTGTAGGCGAATGCTAGATGACGTAGCACGGATTGGATGGATGAATGCAAGCACTGGAATGAGAAATTAAGCACAGTATCAACACAAGTGAAGCTGGGGAGGCAGGTTAGGGAAAGAATGACTGGCCGTACCGAAATGCGCTTTGTAGGTTGTAGACCTGCTGCAGACTTTCAGACGTCTTAACCGGGTGCCTTTCCTCAGTCTTCGTCCTCTTTGCACGTTTTGGATGGCTTTTCTTCGCCTTGCGATGTGTGTGAAGTTGCACGAAGTCCGAAGGTCGCCGAGCCTTTTCTGTAGGTAATTCGGCCGCGAAGGAACACAATGTTGCTGCGATGCTCGTAAACGAAGATGCGTGTTGATAATTCCGAAGTAAAATGCTTTTTATTTAGGTAATTGAGTGTAATCTCAATTTCCAGTAAATTATAAAGCGTTACGTCGTTACATTTGAAAGCAAGTAGTAAGAAGGAATGATTTGACAAAAACGTATATTTAAATTCGTGGACGGCTCAGTGGTGCCACTTCAAAATAGTTATAAATTATCTATGCTAATAATGCCATGGTTATAACACCGACACAAAATAACGTTACCGTTAACTACTAGATAGGAGCAGGTTTCTTTTATAAATAAAACAACCATAAACAACACTTAAAATTTTATTATAATTAAAATAAATACCAACAATCCTATCACCTAAATATAATCAACTTCTTTTAATTTTAATGCTAGCTTTATACTGCCCAAAGATACTAAACAATAAATAACCAACAAACACTATAGCTGATAATACCGTCAGTAATGCAAAAATTAAATAGGCAGCTAGCTCCAATTCGAAGTAATCGTACCAAGATACGTTAGCTGAAGGCGAGCGGAGGTGACGTGCGCCGGAGTGTCGGATGGCGTACTCCGTCCACCAGACAGCGCGCTCTAGTGGAGTATCAGGCTGGTCTTGCATTAGGGTACGAAGTTTCGCTACGTTCTTGCGGTACGTGCTGTAAAGTAATAAAAATAGTTATCATCATCATCATTTCAGCCATAGGACGTCCACAGCTGAACATAGGCCGCCCCCAATGACTTCCACATCAATCCCTAATTTTTAAGGGTATGGTAATAATTAACTGGCTTAACTGGCATTTTGTTTTCATAGGGGTCACTTAAAAATTTGGGATTGATGGTGAAAACGGGCATGATTCTCTCTCTCCTTTTCACTATTGTAACTCCTGTTGAAACAGGATCTGCAGTTTGGGCACCAGTAGCAGTCCCAGTGGACGTCCACAAAGTGGACCGACGACATCACAAAGGTAGCAGAAAGGTGCAAGAGGCAGGCTGCTACCAGCCAGGCGATGCCGCGATGTGTAAATCATTGGGGGAGGCCTATGTTCAGCAATGGACGTCCTGTTGCTGAAATGATGATGATGAGCAGTCTCAGGGGATACCGGACCAAGAATTAATTTGTTGAAATGTTTATTGTACATTTGGTTGAATGTTTTGCTTTATGAGTTCTTAGATTATGTTCTGCCAAAAACACCTCACATTTAGGTACCTAATCACCATATAATTTGTTTCCAGTTATTATTATGTTTAGGTATTATTATACCTAATATGACGATGATGGGTTCGCATAATGTGCATTTTTTCTCGATTTTGTTTTTCGGACTGTTATTGCGTCATAATTAAAGGAAAATGGTTCGAAGTTATTGAAGCCCGATCCTTAATTCTGGTATTGGATTATCCTTAATATTGTCTCTGAATTGTTAATTACAAAAATTCATCGAATTCTTACCTTTCATCGTTTAGAATAGTGCGAATTGCACTATCCAGTTTCTCCTCAGTAAGTGTTTCCATGTCCAATTGAAGTCCGATTTTGTGGTATGCATACTGTTCTACATTGTACCACTGGTCTCCCAGCATCGGTATACCAATCAGGGGCACTCCAGCTGTTATGGCTTCATCAGTAGACTGGAGACCACCTTGGGTGATGAAAAGTTTGACTTTGGGGTGTCCTGAAACATAATTTACGGTTATGACTTGAAAAATTTAATTATGGCCTACTTTTAGCTTTCCGCCGCGGCTTCGCCCACATTGAATTTTGTCTGTCACAGAAAAACTTTATCGCGCGCGTCGCTTTATAACCGGGATAAAAACTATCCTATGTCCTTTCCCGGGACTCAAACTATCTCTATGCCTTTCATCAAAATCGGTTCAGTGGTTTAGGCGTGAAAGCAAGACAGACAGACAGAGTTACTTTCGCATTTATAATATTAGCATAGATTTAATACTAAAATATTTTATGCGTTTTCAGCTCCAGTCTTGCAAATTTTTTAAAATAAGAAAAATGGAAACTATCAAAAGAATAAAAATAATCCCATAAAAACCCTATAAATTAAACAATTTATCAGCAGGAAGTACTCGTACCAAGCACTTAAAGATTACATACTAGTTCAATCCACTCAATTTCACAATTCCACTTAATTTCAAAAATAAATACAGTCGACAGCTTAAAAAAATTACATATTTGTTACAAATTAGCATCTATTATCACGTCATAAGATGTCTATTATATAGCTAATTACGTATGTACAGTAAGTGACAAATAATTCGTACACACAAAGTAACCCAAAAAGTACATTATGCATCTTTGTTACAATTGGAATAGGTTGTTCTGTCAATTTGGCCACTTTGAATGTCAAGAACTATTTGACGCTGACTGTACAATTAAGGATTTGAAAGTAATAAAGTTTTGACTTACTTAAAAGATCCGACTGCGGCAGCCATTTAGATATCCTTATATTTTCCGTTCGTCCGGGCAATTCATCCTTATTCCATTTCCACAATACGTCATAAGGAAGTTTGGAGAAAACATTTATAAGTTTCTGAATTCTTTCCGGGGGTAACAACGCTGGTTCGACGTTGGTTCCGAAACTTATGTATATCAAGCCGTGTTTGGATGAATCGAGGTATGATTTGAGATCCTGGAACAAAAAATCATTCAGTCAGATCATTTACCTACGCCCGTATTCACAAACATTACTATGAGGTCTCACAGAGCGCGTGGACGCACAGGGTGACACACAAACCAATCACAGAGCTCTATTCAACGCTGTGCGTCCAATTTGCAGCTTCACTTAAGCATTGTTTGTGAATACGGGTGTTAGTTTCCACTGCTAGAGAACACCCCTTTTTTACCTTTTGCCAGAAGAAAATGGAGAATTTGGTTTACACTCGTATTGATTAGGTGATTGATAGGTATACTAAGATAACGGATTTCAAATACACGCTAAATTTTTTATAAGATTTTTCCTAATTTTATAGATAGTAAGCATCAGCTAGACCAAATAGATATACAATAATAATAATATCTTTATTTCTTTCCTACAATACGAGTACAATGATAAAATAAAATCATTTACTATGCACTATTTAAACGTCATAACTGTAATCAATGTTTGTGTTGTGCGGTGATCGAACCCGTGCGACTTCTACCTACATATTTAAAACAACTGCGCTAAACGGGTTTAATTTGTTTAATATAAATTTAAGACTATTCAAGAATACAATACCGAGTACGTGAACACCTTACCTTCGGCAATTCTTTCACTGGTTTCTGGTGTAGTCCTCCCATATAAATCACATTAGGTGGACTCGGCCGATTCAGCTCCCAAATTGGATGCACATTCAAAAACAAGAAATCCACATTGTTCCTCAACTCACTTAGCTTCGGAATATCCGATCCGAGTACCCTTCTTAACATCTCATCGCTTTCTTCTTCACACAACGCTAGAGTCCTATACAATCTAATATGATTGTAGATCTCGACGGCTTTTTCCCATATCGTTAAATTATGAACTCTCTGTCTTACCGACGTAGGGTGCACAATTGGGTGATTTGGCATCCCCATAGTCCCAATATTGTGCATAAACGCCCCAAATGAACTCATCTGGATCGCTGGCGCTTTGATCACATGGGTCAAACCCAACGCCACTAGTGGACAAGCTTCTACTATAAGTAGATCAAAGTTTTGATTTTTATCTTTAATTAATTTTTGGACTTTAGGAGTGAGTAGTTGCATTTCAAATACTTTATTTATAGTGCTGAAAGCTACGTGCATTTGAGTTTGCAGATCTTCTCTATCACCGCTGGTTACAGCATCTGATAGAAAGTTTTCTCTCCATGTCTTGTAAGATCTTTCATGGACATCTATTTCTGTGTAATTTGCTGGGCTCTTTTCATTTGTAAATACTGGATCTGGTGTTACTACAGTCACATCATGTCCTCGTTGTGCCAATTCCAGTAATAGTGGTCGGAATACTACTTGATGACTTATTGATGGAATCGGGAACACTGCTAAGATTCTTGCTCCTTCATGTTTTTGCACTAACACTATACTTATTAGTAGTAAAACTTTCATAACACTTGCCATTTTGCTATTTTATTGTTTTTAGTTTTGATATTGTAGGTTTCTTGAATTTCTCAAGAATTTTGTGAACAATCTAAGGTTTTTAAATTTACATCGGAGAACTTTTGACCTTCGTCACCATTACTGACAACTTTTTCCTCATTTACTACACTTCCATGATCATTGATTTAATAAATACAAATACAAACTGCCACTGTTCACTATTTATACCAAACACTGCGAATGAACAACATCTTGAGAACACAAATCATTTATAGGACCGTTTTGCACGTTCATTCCGATGATTAAGAAATAATAATATGTCATTAGAAAATGAACAGTAGTTGCATTCGCTAATTATGCTAGTGGTGACCCGCTGATATAAATGACTGGACTGTTTTAAAGTGGTGATAAAACATTACTTCAATGAACAAATTAACGGTCAATTATGAATTTAAAGGTCTTTTTACTCTTGAGACTAATGGGTTGCAAACTTTTACGTCCATTCTACTTTGAACCAGAATAACTGATAAATAATTTAGCAAACTCACTGCTGTTAATTTAGCCAAATTAAGGGGCAATTTAATTGTTTCGACAGTCTTGAAAATCTTAACATGATAAGGGTTTTGTTTGAATATTAATCGAACAAGCAGTTTTAAACTTTATTAATCTTTAACTATATCTTTAACAGCAAAAGTAACTTTCAATATTTTAGAATTTAGGTTTGTTGCATTTTTTCTGTTCTTAACACCAGCCTATAAAGAATAGTAGTTATTACTAAAATACACGAGTAACTGTGATGTGTCTATCTCATGGAAACTTATAGTAAAAAAAACTGCATCTGTCATGGTCATGGTCAATCTGACGTTGAATGCCATAAACCTACCGTGATTGCTTTTCTGTAGTACTGATACATTATAGATGCAGTTTCTTATAAAAGGCCTTGCAAGCGATCAATATTTATTTTGTTGTTACAGTCTACATACCATATCGACAAAAGGGATAATGGGCTCATTAACACTTTTTTCTTCATTAATACCTACTTAATAACAAAACATCTTTTTCCTTATAAAAATGTTCCTCATAAGATGTTTTCCTTAAAATATTTTCCGTACAAAAAGGGTTTACCAGGTGACTATTAATCAATCAAAAACATATGACACACTTGTTTATTTGTTTTAAATAAAAAAACTGGTTTCTAAACAAATAATTATCTTTGACTATTTTAGTCAATCTAGGTTTGACGAGAACAAAATTTTAACTGCAACATAGATTCATTGACTGCACTTTATATCAGTTGAAGTAACCCACACTTAGAGGTACTTACTTAGCGAACAATTAACACCAACTAAAGTGTCAATTTGAATATAACTGATATAACTTACAAACAGGGGATTTAAAATTAGAAAAAGAAAGAAATTAATTAAGAATTCTCCAATATTATTCCCTTATTCATAATTCATAATAAAAAGTAAAAAAACTAAAACCCAACTACGACAAAAAACGACGCTGAAAAAGTATAAAACAAGATTTTCAGAATACTGAACTGAACAAAGTTGCCAATGTAGTTGCATAGTAATTTTCATGTTTGGAAAACCGCAGTCACACGTTGTCAAAGTGCTACGGTAGGTAGGTTTAAGTAACGTGTGACTACGCCTTTCCAAACATGAAAATTATTATGCAACTACATTGGCAACTTTGTTCAGTTCAGTATTCTGAAAATCTTGTTTTATACTTTTTCAGCGTCGTTTTTTGTCGTAGTTGGGTTTTAGTTTTTTTACTTTTTATTATTTGTACTATTTTGGTATTAAAGTGTATTTGTGGCGCATATGTATTAACTAAAAGTTAAATTGATGAACTAATAAGTAATAAAGAAGCTATGAACGAAAAGATGTGAATTATATGCAATCAGCCCATGAATACAGGTAAAGTCACAAGCAAATGCTAGTAATATATATATATTCGAAATGTACAAGTAAAGCGCTTTCAAATGATACCAAACACGGCATATTTATCTTAACTTTATTTTTTTACTCTGTATGTTTTGTCTGCTAGAGGGCGCCACATTCGATTTTGTGAAACCCCATATAGCCTATAACCAGCGGACAATTAAGACGCTTCTAATGATATGTCATTTGTCGAATTCTGATAAGTAGTTTAGAAGTTACGAGGGAACACATGAACATACATACATATATGTTCATACATACATACCTACATAGCCTGTCAAAACCATAACCCTCCTTTTGCTTTGCCGTAGTCGGGTAAAAATTGACCTACAACAAAGTTTTACCTAACTAATCATTGTTTTGTCTCATTTACACACAACTAAATTAACATTTTCTAAAAACACTAGGTGAGAAGACGTTCAACCAAAATAAAAGTTCAGATTCGGGAAAGTAATATTTTGCATTCGGGCAGCCATTCATTTTTATCCCGCAAATATTCAATCGGAAGTGGGAAGGTAAAGACCTTTATCTTCTCTGGAGAAAATGTAGACAGGCCCACATTTATATTGGAGCCTGGATTAAATAACTCCATCTGATAAATCCGGGTCTTCTTCAAATTGTAAAATGTAGGAATGTTACTCATCAGAATTATTTGATAGGAATGTACCTATACCATATATTGTTTTAAACTTTCACTGTCACTAACATAATTATTATTAAGTAGACCGATATGTCTACCCATAAAATCTCACCCGCAAGTTTCCTCAGTTACTCCGTGACCATGGCGCTTACAACAGTGCCGAAATATCGGAAACTCAAAATTAAGGGACATGGCAATCCCGTCAATAATAAGAATGTATACCATGTATAGGTACTTCTGTTTATTTGGTTGATCGCAACCAGTCCAATTTGGAAAATGTTCTTTTGTGTTCGATAGCTCATTAAAATTTATCGAGGAAGATTATAGGCTAAAGGCTGCCATCACGCTTCGACCTATAGGAGCAGAGCATACATGAAAAAATTTGAAAAATGATACAAACTATCCTTTTTTTTTACGCGGAAAAAATGCGTTGAATCGCATACCTACCCTGCGGGGACAGGGTAGGTTATGTGGGGCTCACCAAGTCAGAAGGTCGAGGCATATCCACTAAAAAGACCCCGGTGCTCCGTCACTCGCCTATGTGGGAGGACGTCAAAAATCTGTCAAACTCCATACAAAATGCACCGGTTATCGTCATAGTTACCGTCAAAGTTAGGTGGTACAACTCAGCCTTAGTATGGATAAGTTTAAGCAAAACTTTTGAAATTTAAGTAAAACGATTTGAAAAATGATCTATTGGTTCATCTCAAACCGGGATTTTAGGTTCATTTCTAGTCTAGATTAAAAAAATGACGTGATAGGTATTTCATAGTTCAGATTATGTCACTAACCTGATTAATTATCTTATTCCGCAATGATGTTTGAGATGTCAGATGTCGCTACTGTCTATATTGTTTGCTAATTAATATCTAATTACGATGTATTGTCTAATTATTGTGGTTTATCTATAATGTGTTTATAATAGTCATTTGATAACATTATCAGGTGGCGATTTGACCTATATTATGAACTAGCTGACCCGGCGAACTTTGTTCCGCCTTAATGGCAATAAATAAGCAGACTTTTTTTTTAATTTCGAACGGGATAAAAAGTATCCTATGTCCTTCTCCTGGCTCTAAACTACCTCCCTGACAATTTTCAGCTAAATCGGTTCAGCCGTTCTTGAGTTATAAGTGGAGTAACTAACACGACTTTCTTTTATATATATAGATTCAAATGATACAGATTAATGTGAAATTAATACATTAATTATGACAGAAAATCCACGTGTCGACACCCACCCACCACTATTGGGACCGAAAAACTTATATTTTTTTTTTAATCTATAACAAGAAAGCTCTTAGCTTGTATTTACATTTATATCGAGTTTGCCACCACATCTTTACTCAAATTATCATAATAATATGCCATCAATTGAATATTATTTTTACTTGAATCGTATATTTTACTTGACACTGGCTTATATTATGTGCAAAGCGCACGAATCTTCATTTAAACAAAAAACTAGTGCAAGTTTTTAGATAATGTTAATGCTATTTGGTTTTTTGTTGAAACACATCATAATCCTTTTTAAGGTGCTTTTCGTAAATTCCACACACAATAACCAATGCATAATAACGTAAACGAATTGCTCAATATTTTACAAACTGATGGAAACAGCTAACACTGAAAAATTCTACCCTCCTTTCTTTTAATCGAGACGTCCACTGTTGGACAAAGCCTCGGGGTCGGGACCAAGATCTTTGGTCCATCTACAATACACTATGTCTTCCGATGCATGGTTGCCTTGAAAACATTTCTGCCTCATCAGCCATCAGTTAAACGAGCTATGTGCCCCGCCTACTGCCACTTAAACCATTCTTACTGAGGAACTAATAATGTCTAATAACAGGCCTCCGTCACTCGCCTATGCCGGCCGAGATAATTACCTACAGCGCGCGACAACTTCAAGTTGCAAATCAGTCCGGGCCGCCACGCGCCTGTTTGCACACACGTATCTACACGCTCGGTCGATCATAGTCGCAATCAAGGTTTATTGTTCCAACAGCACTGTTATTCTTCTTTAATGAAAAATTGTAATATTTAGGAATAATAATTAACTGTTAGTGATTTAAATAATTAAAAAAAAACTACACTTTTTAAATAATAAATTATTTTGAAATACTTATGACAAAAAAATTATTTTAGCTAATAAAAACATTAACTTTACTTCACCGTGTCTATTTTCCGACACTACACCTTTTAAAACTGTTTGTTTAATTTCGAATTATCGCAACACTGAAGTTTATTAATAGGTACTTTAGAGATGGTACGATTATACAAACTCCACTAGATTAAAGTTTTCTAATCGTAAATACAATAAATGCTTCTTAAAATTAAATTTTTATTTATTTTACTTTGCTCATACAACCCTGACGCTTGAGCGGTGACGTAGATCAATTCTAAACACAAAAAAAATGCGCTCTTGTGAGCGTAGTAGTAAGGTGCGATTTCGAATGCACCATGTGCGTTGGATATTTTGCATTATTATTATTACCGTTAAAATGTCGGCATCTGATCCTACACAAAGGAGTGCAATTTCTGTTGCTACTATTATGTATTCTGTGCTAATAATGCTAAATTGCAGACGATTATGACGATGATACGTAAATCTTCAATATCATCTAACCATGCGGAATGCAAATGGTACGAAAACTAATG